TCAATAATACATATATTTAAATTAGCTAACCATGCTTATGTAGAATGCAATTATAGTTTTTCGGTTCACAGAAAATGAAACTTAAATTATCACAAGCAAGCAATAGATAATGGATGTTGAAAAATATACATAAATGGATATAGGAACAGCATTAGACAAATTAAAATAATCGAAATTCGTATCATTCTCTACCAACAACCAACAAAACAACGCAGGGCTGTCCTCACGCTAGATACATATAAATTTAACCTGGAACGATATGGTGACCTTAAGGGGCGTGGTTGTGAAATCTATTACTATACATGAGCATGCCCGCACGCGTGTGTATCACAGCCTTGCAACCGAAATAGCTACGCCTACTACACTGCCAACGCTCGCTGTTTTTCCTCACGTAGTGCAATGAGAATTTATAACCATCGACAATCATCATTGTCCGCTTGTTTTTTGATAGCGCGAATGTAACTGAAAATAGAAACAAAAATTAAATACGGATTAAAGACACGCCATCTAAGTTATAAGCCAGTAAATATGCTTCTCTGATAAAACAGCAACTGTTTACAGATCAAGAATGTAACTTCTTATAAAGTTTTTTGATAATGTGTTTATATTTACAATTCATTAATAACTAATAGTTTAATCGACAGTAAATTAAAAAGCAGACCTTTAGATCATTATACAGTTTATTAAAATATAACACACGAAATCAAAATTAAACCTTAATTTTTTTTTAAAGCTATACATTTTAACGAAAAAGAAAACGCATAATTTTCACATTCTGTTAAATTTAAAAACTGAGTACTGAAATCGGTTATTCAAAAACTGATCAAGCCGTAATAAAAAAATTCCAACAATGGTATGTTTTAACCCAAGAAACTTATTTATTTATTATTTATTTTGCACTAAATACAGAATGGGGGTAGTAGTAAAATTTTAAATATGTAATTTAATAAATAATAATATATAACTTACATGCTAATTATGAAAATATTACATACACCTTTCTGCATTTCTATTGAATAACACCTTACGATATTTAACTTATATTTTAATACAGTATTTTACAATTTTGACGACTCGGTAGCGCAGTATCTAAGGGTTTATCTGCTGTACTGAAGACCGCGAGTTCAAATCTCGCACGGAACAACTTGCATTTTAAAATAATTAATCTGCGTCTAGGTGTTTGTCCATATGTATTTGAAAACCGTGTTGTGCATAAATGATCAAACGCACAAACTATCCAAAATAATGATCCAAAATTAAAATCCTCTTCTACCATCCAGATAAGAAAGATTTCTACTTTAAAGTAACAAGTACCTTCCTTTGGGATTAGGTACGATCTACATTAAAATTTCTTTAAAATAGTACACATAACATACAAGGAGTTCTGCCAAAAGAAAAATGCATTTATCTTTCAAATTCGCATAACTTTTTGTTTTTGTGGCTTGAAACATTTCTGCACAACACGATCATATTTATTTATGTTACGCATATCCACGATATGGAATTAACATTGTGGCACCACCCCTCTTCACATGGTGGTTTTAAACTTGGGGATTGCTCTTATTTACTCATTAGTATTATGTTATAAAGTCATTGTTATAGACAAAGATTGTATATGTTCAGAAAATGAGCCTTGGTTTGGTTGGTGGTGAAATTACGCAAACCTAAGGGTGACAAACAGGCACACAGTCCACCTGATCCTTTATGGTGGATTATATATTAAAACAGTCTGATTACTTGATTAGTTTATAGGAATAAGAAATGTTCAATTTTCATTTTTCAGCGCGTAACATTGGGCGTCACGGTATATCTGCTTCTTGTGTGTATTTTAACTCGAATTATAAAGCAGACACTGACGAAGCTTCTCATATGACATGACTATTTCTTCAACTGTCGGAAGTCACAAAAAACTCCTGGACATATTCCTTAGTCAACTATTACATCTAAGAGAACGACAAGAATTCGATTTCGCACTCTTCTCAACATCATTTTTGTAAACACTGATCTTAGCTTCTAATATAAGCTGTCTTTCAGGCTTGAATTGAACATTCCACTAAAATATGATGTACAAGTTACATCACGCGTACGTATGGTGATGGACTGTGTTCCTGCCATTAAAGAGACCTAAATCTATATTAAAGTCTACTATCAGTCCAATATTATAAAGAAAATATACAATATACTATATAACACAAAAAATTTAGAAACCATAAAGCAATTATTGCTATAAACCAGAATTCCAGTCTTAAAAAACGAGGACGTTCAAAAATAAGCGAGAATGTATGAGTGAAAATAGTACAAATTTTCGGATTTGCAAAAGTTAATTTTACCGGATTTCAATATCTGAAATGCTAAGCAATACGGAAAAACAGACCAGAATAAATAATATCACGAGGTTTTTCGAAACTGTGATACTGATCGTTTTTCAACTCGATTTATAACAATGAACTTAATCAAACGAACGGACGTACAGTTCACAGTTTGACACCAATGATTTGTCAGACAAGAATTGGAGCCGCCATCTCTAACTCCTAAGAAATTCAAGGAGACCTTCCGTCGGTAAGATCATGGACTCTCTTTTCTGGATCAATTATCTCCGCCATAGGGCAAATGTTACGGATATTTTGTATGCACAACAAATAAAAAACTTGCCCAACGGAATCCGCGAGAAATCGCGAGGCAAGCTCACAAATATTATTTTGTTTCACCAAGATAACGCCACGGCTCACAAGTCCGTCGTTGTGATTACTACAATTCAAGATGCTGGCTTTGAAATATCTACTTGAGTATTCTCCATATTCATCAGACCTTGCACCTGGTGATTTCGATCTATTACCAAGATTGAAGGAGTATGTGAGGGAACATTTCAATGATGATAAAGCAGTAAACGCTGCAGTACGTTTAGACACTCAGGATTAAGAGTTCTTTATGAAAGGAATTTTTAGCTTGTACATTATAAAAGGTCACTGTAAAAAATAAATTAATATTTAATAAAAAAATACCTGTAACTCATTCTCGCTTTCTATTGAACGCCCCTTGTAATATTATTTGTACACATCACAACCAAAACAAATACTTATTGCCATTAATTTTTGAAGCTATTTTTTATTTCACAAAAAAAAGTGGAAAAGAATTCAAATCCTTGAAGTGAATTTTTTCATGATTCTTTTCACACACACACATATATATTATGTAAACGTATACCTATAGCAAATCAAACTACATCTATAATAAAAATAAAAATACTTTTTGGGCGATATGAAATGGAAGCATTTCAGAAGAGATGCATATTATAACTTTGTAATTAATAATTTAAAATATTATTGTTAATTTTTGGAAGTACTTAAGGGAAGATGCCCACTGCAAAGACAAGACATAGTGTAGAGACGAATCTCGATCGCGTGTCGAATATGCCTTGACTTCGTTTTACTTACAGCTTTAAATAAATTCATCAGTTGCATTTGTCTGTGTGAACGATACGCCTAATGATTTACCTAAAAGTTTCAAGAATGCATTCCGCAAATAAAATTGTGCTGTAAATATGGCAACAACTTTGTGGAACATAATATTATTATTGTTTACTTGAAAAAAAAAAGAACGTTATCCTAGTGAAATATAAAATAAATAGTTTATTAAGTATCACGTTTTCAAAAAGATCGTAAAAAAATCACACTAACCCAACTGGATCTTGAGAAAATAACCTAGAATGAGATTTTTGCAAGTTGTTAAATAATTTCCTAAGGTGTACTTGTACGAAATAGAAATACTTACACGTTTTTACAACATTATTTATCTAGATATGTTCAAAGCTTATCTACACATTTTGTTGATTCTCATTGAAAGACTTAACAAGGATTTGTTGTTCATGCAGAGCCATATTGATTGAAGGTTTTCCTCGATTGATAAGTAACTCCGAAGCGTCATGATTGTGGAAGCCCTTCACTTCTATGATATGGGACCCTGATGTCTTAACCACGGCTTTACAACATTTGTATGAATGGGTAGAGCAGGTCCATCTTATAATACCGTTACGCACTGAATGTCGGCAGTAGGTGTACTTATTGAAGACGATTAGTGGTTTCCCTCTGAGAGACTGAATATAAAAGGCGGGCGCTATTACTCCTGAAAACAAATATTTGCATTAGTTTAGCATTAAATATCATATTACGAAACTCGAATAATCAGTTTAAAAAAAGGAATTATACTCATTAGTGAACAAGAAATGAAATCGGTGAAAATAATACTAAAATATTATTTATTATGGTATCATTATTTTACAATTTTAGAGAGCGATGGTACAAAAGTTGGATAATACTGAAAAATATGATTATGCCACAATATTTGTACTAATAATTGTACAAAAATACAACAATAATCATAGTTACTATAATACACAAAATAAAAAGGCAAGATTTACTAAACAGAGATCACGTTATCACAAATTAGCACCCATTCCAATGCAACAAGTTACAAGCATCTTGGAAAATATTACATTCCAAAATCAAAAAAAAATCTATATAAAATATGTCTGCTCTGGAATTTTATTTGCTTTTCTAATAATCACATAAAAAAACCTGTTTGTTTACTTCTAGTTGATGTACAAAATACAGAAATAACAATTTTTATGTCTAAGTAAATAAAAAAATTTACTCAACATATCAAGTAAAAATGTACACTCACCGTTCTATTCAATAATACCTTCGCTAATCTATAGTCTTTTTTTATATTACTGCTCTAAATGTAATTAAAAAGTTATATAATACCTATATTATATAATTTACTTTTTAATTTATATATATACTTTCTTTGCCAAAGTTATATAAAACTATTTATAACACATTCCACTCCATGTATTAAACAGCCTGCAGACAATCATTTGGCCCCTTCGGACCGGATGGTACTTTATATAATAATACAACTATAAAAATTTAATAATACATAAAAATATTGAGGGTAAAACAGATTCAATTTAACTTATTCTAAGTAAGATAATGATATCGTCAAACGAAGAACTCTGTGGGTGGATGGTTGTGAAAATTCTTCGCAAATACTAGCTTGTCTCGATCAGTGTACACTCTAGCTGGACAGCCGTGGTTGTTGTGCGTGTAGCAATACCAACAACTCCTGTCGCCGGTGCACATTTCTCTCGTAAACGTAAAGTCGCCAAGTTTCATTAGACTCTCGCCATCACGTGAAAGCATAAACTTCACTGAAAGGTACATGCTCTGGTAAGAAATATAATATTGTAAGTACAAACTACATACTTCCTCCTTTTATTGAAGAATATTCTTTAATTTGATCTCTAGTTTAGTTATGAGTGTAGTGGTATCCACTACCCCATATCTTCCCGTGGGTGTTTTAAGAGGCGACAGAGGATAACAAAGGAGTTGGGCAGCAGCGTCTTCCAAATAACGACTAAAAATAATAAAAACTGCGATTGCTAACCCACTTGCCAAGCGTGGCAACTATGGCAGATATTCCCCCTTCGAGGCAATCTATGGGGGAGGTCTATTTTCAGGAGTGGACTTTAATAAACTATAACGTTAACGGTTAATTATTAGTATCACAACATATGCCGCTACTCAAGGACGCAGAGACCAAATTATATTTATCTAAAATAAGATCGAGGCACAATTAAAGGAATTCTTGTAACTTTTGATAAATGATGGAATAATCATATCGAGAAAAGCCTGGTCGGTGATGGGAACCAGCTCTTAGGTGCAAGGAAAGTAACGATCAAGGTTAAAAAAATCTCATTTACCAATGTCCCGTAATATTGTGGGTGTTGAGGATGAGGACCAAATAGATAACTAGAAGGAAAACTCAAACATTACTTAGTGATACCAATGATTTGTCTAAGAATGTAAGAACAGTTAGTTGATTTAATTATGATTTATTGTGATGACGTGTTTATATTCTAAATATATCGTTAGAAAGTGAAATGTAGGTACTTTTCTTGTTGAAGATAACTTTTTTCACACTTTATACCTTTTTTTGCTTATGACTGTACATACCAATACGAGCACCACAGTTTAGCCGCATTTGCTGAATACAAAACGGGAGACTGGAAAATGTACTTCTGTGTAACGAAGCCTTTTCTATTGTTGTTTATCCATTAAGACTTCATGCTACGTAAACTTAAGGCTATACTATACTTATGAAAAAAAAGCACAGGGCTTTGTAACTAAGTAAGGGCTTTGTAGCTTGCTACATATATATTTATCTATGCTTTGTAAATCCTTTACCAAGGTTGGCCAAGTTAACGCTAATAGAAACTATAAAAATAAATATAAAATCAACAATTAGCTATGTCAATTAACGTTAAGACATGTGTGCTTATGTTTATTTTTATAGTTTTCTATTACATAGTATTTATTATTTCAATTTTTATTAGTCACCATAGTCACCTTGGCCAACCAATCAGGACATAAATATTTTTCAAAGCAGCTGTAAAAGATCTTTATTGAATGTATAATTATTTATTATTAATTATAATTATTACCCTTGAGGTTTAGATCAATATCAGACAAATAGTTGAAAAAATAACACTAATTTATTTCATATAAAAATCCATTATCACGATTTTTCATAACATTATATTTTTTCACTACTGTATAAAATATGCACTGTTTAACAGCTGTGATAAAAGTGTAAATATAATGTTATAGTTAAACAATAAAAAAGATAAAACTAAAATTAAATACATACATATGCCATGTCCTTGTGTATGTATGTATTCATATATATTTCATCCCTATCCATGAAATAAAAAACCCAAAATTCGTCATTAATTTTATTTAAAGTTGAAAATCATATTTCATACCAATTACAAACATGGTAGTACGGAATAAAAGTTAAGAGTTACTAAAGTTATATTTTTTAAGTTTAAAGAAAAAATTGCTGTACTTAATTTCGTTATTATCTACATGGTTTCCATATCTTTACATTTATTACAACAACTGATATATATTTTGATAACTTCTTTAGAAATGTTACAATATTTAGTTTTTAATTCTTCATCCATTCTATCCTTATCTGGATGATTAAATAACAAATGTATAGTATGTAATACTCCAAATAATTCATCTGTTGCTACATAGAACTTTATGTTGGGATTGGATTCATCTTTCGGTTTTATTAACCTTTCCTTCCCATTTACTTCCAACACATCATAATTACTTAACATTTTATAGTCGTCAAAGTCTTTGTTCCATTTTTCTTTAATTTCCTTAATTTCTTTAAAGAAGTCTCGATACCTTTCTCTATTTATAAGATATATGCTATTACTGCGCTTACGATTTATTAGCCTATCAAGCTTTTCAGTGAATTCCTTCTTCATTGGAGCTACAACATCTACAGAAAACAATTTTACACCTGCAAATAAGAAAATAAAAAAGAATTAAAAACAATAAATATTTTTTATTGTTTTTAATTTTTATTACGGCTATTAATATTTTAATAGACTTACTATGAAAATTTGGATAAAAATAAAAGTGGAGGCGTAGGAGAAATCGCCACCCCATATCGTTCCATGGGTGTCGTAAGAGATGACAGAGGGAAACTGAAACGAGAGGGGCAGCAGCATCTTCCGGATAACAACTGAAATTATTTTATTTTAATTAATATTAGCAATAGCCAATATGAGCCAATCTAAGGGGGCGTATATTCAGCCGTGGACTTTTGATGGGCTGTGATGAATAAATGAAATGACAAAGAAAACTACAAAATTTTTTTCTTCAAATGAAAAGAAATGCTTTATTTTTTGACAACATAATAATATTTAAAAAAAAAAACTAAATAAAACAATATATCTTCAATAACATATAAATTTTATTCAATGAATATTTATAATATAATAGAAAGATTCTAATCTACTACTTAAATATAAAGTGAAAATCACTACAATTGTATTATGATAAGTTTTAACAAGTATCTGCAATAAAAAAAAAAATACCAAAAGCATTGGAAAATTATATCAGTGAGGAAAAATATGAAGAAAACTACAGAATCTTCTAATTTAAGAGATTTGGAGTCTATTTGGAATATCCATAAGTCCAATAATGCAGATCACAGACAAATGGCGCTGTACGCTATGATACCGAAAGCATTTTTCCAGTTGCAAATTGTTTTCAAGTAGACTAAATTGTCTTTGTAAACAAATGTATGTCTAGTTTATATATGCTAATACTTGCACATTACTTATATCTTATTTATAAAAAAATTATAACTACACTAGGGAGTCTTCCTATATTGTTTTCTGGAATAAATTAACTGTAGATAGATTAACAAAGTTCTAATGTGTAGAGTAAACCAAACCTGTATAAATTATTTGTAGGCCATACAAATGCTCAATTCATGCAGGAATTGAATCCCCAGCTGCCAAGAAATGAGTCTACTGTGCCATAAGATTATAAGTTTTTATCTCCTATTTGTTTCTGTTACATTATCAATAATCATCACCAGTATTACAACTTATTACAAGTCAGAAGTAAAATATCACAAGTTTGAGAGAAAATCTGCATGACTTTTTTTATAGGATAAGGGTGAAAAACGAGTACACAATCCACCTGATGGTAAGTGGTTATTAAGGCCCATAGACATCTAAATTTATCCCCGATTATGAATCAAAATGCAGATGTGTTGTCACCCGTGAGGACTAAGATGGGATGCCAGTAATATAGCTGCAGCATGGCTTTACCACATATAAAAACACATTGAACGCACTATGAACACATAAATATTTGAAGGACATATGAAGTTCACCAACATAAAAATGGGTTGATAAGTTTGCCAAGCAAGTCTGAGTTTTAGTATACTTTTGCAACTATGTGATATTTTATATTATGCAAGGTAGTAAAAAGTTAATATGAATTTTTTTGTTGGGTATTTAAGTTACTGTTGCTTCATTAAATTATAATATTTCATTGTTAGTTTTGTTAGCCTTCAAGTTGCCTTTTTGTCAGTTATGTCTATAATACATTTTTGTGCATTTATTGTAGTCAATGATAGATATACAAACAGTTGCTGTACCATACTAATATATAAAAATTTATATTTGATTGTTTGTACCTTATGCGCTGCCATACCATTCATCAGATTGTGCTAAAATTTTGTCAACTTATTGCTTGCTCCTGCGCCAAGGTTATAGGCATGTTACAATTAACTTACAGTAGGTGACTTGTTATCAGGAAGATGCTGCTACTCATCTCCAGTTTCATTTTCTCTCTGCCACCTTTTACAACACAGCAACAAAGCTTTTTTTCGATAATAAAGGAAGATATCATGAGGATACCTTGTCTCAAAAGTTAAAAATTTAAAGGAAATCTAAAACAGTCATCAGGCATTATGTCAGTTAATGTGAAAAAAAAAGAACTCTTTATACCAGGCGAGTTTTGGTGGGAACTTGACCGACCGCGGCTTACTGCTCCTGTATTATTGTTTAAATAATGGATTGAAGTGGATTTTGATATGTAAAAGTGGTGCGATTTTGTGTATTAAGTGTCTGCACAAATGAACTATTAGTGGAAATGGTGAAACAAGTGCTCTGATGGTGATGTGATTCTCAAGATAAGGTGTCTGTCTGCTTAGGCGCCTTGAGATACCATCACCAACTGTCAGCTGTCTGCTGGCTCAAGTTGCCTTCAAAATCTCTCAAGGGTTGCACAATGTGACGCATCAACATATTGTGAAGCAGTGTACTATGAAGGATAATTATACATTGTAACTTCAGGCTCGGAAGGGCTAGAAACAAGAGCCGTAAAACCAGTTAAAAAAAATTAATACCAGGCCCAGCAATATACATTCTGGAAAAGTGAAAGAAAGATACAAACTATAAGTATAACAATTATTTTATTTAGTATATTATAGTAAATATTACTTAATAAAAACATTTTTAAACTTGTTTCTAAAAACTTTTTTGTAAGAGGAATCAACAAGAAACCCAGCTGTCTAACTGACTAATTTAACTAGACTAACATACAATTTATTTTGTTGTTACTTTTATGTAGCGATATAACAAAATAATAGTAATAGTAATAATAATAATAAGCATTTATTCATTACCACCAATAAAGTTAAAATGAGTACATACAGACATTACAAGAATTACATAATGTAGTAATGAATGGGCTCTAGCTCAGCATAAATGTTGTAGTTGCCTACAACGTTGTTATTCTGCCAGCGTCCAACATACGAACAGTAC